ACTGTGCCTGTGCTAGTATTTGGTGTGTGCTGGCCTTACACTGAATGGCACTGCTCTCCATGAGCTTTCCTGGCCCAGCAAGAGCCTGGTCACCTCCATTTGTCCCTGCCTGTCCTAGGGCCTGGCCCAGACACTGGCTTGGGGTGGGAGGCGGGGACCGCCAGTCTCATGGCCTCCCGCATCCCCCGTGGGCCTGAGGCCGAGCCCCTGGCTCCTGAACGTGCCCTACAATGAGGCCTGCTCTTCGCTGATTCCAGGCTGGTGTCCAGGAGAGGCCCCGCCACCAGGGCAGGCAGCCCTCCGTCAGGGACAAGGCACCCGTCGTCAGGGCCACCCTCGTTAGTAGCACCTCACTCCTGCCGCACGGGCACCGTTCTGCTCCCAGCGGTAACCACCGGGTAGCGTTTGCCTGCGACGTGGCCCTCAACAGTGTTGTTCAGGGCAGCAGAGCATGATGGCATCATGACAGGCTGGAGCCAGTGCCTTCGGATAAGGGTGGGCCGCATTTTGAGAACAAGGGCAGGTGCCAGCACTGAAGTCTTTAAATTGAAATGCGTGTTGTGTACGTAAATACAGAGAGACGAGTATGGGCTTATCAATGGGTTTGGTGTGTGCCCGGGAGACGGGCACATGGCCTGTGAGGTGCTGGTGTCAGGGACTGGGGGCTCTGGCACATCATTGCACATCCAGACGCTGGGCCCTGGGGAAGTGGGAGCTTGGGTGGTGTTTATGCGCTGACAGGGACCTCAGGACACATGCAGTTGGACTCCCTGCCCATCTCCTTTTTAAAAGCTAAACCAAAAAGGAAAAACGGACATTAGAACAAAGATCAGGAAATCCTTCGCGTGCTGAGGTCCTCACCTGCAGGGTCCCTGGAGAGGACGAAGGGCCACACCCACGTGCTTTCTACTGGGAGTTGAACTTGGATCACTGGATGCAAAGGCATGTCCACGTCTACGTCCACAGCAAAACGTGCAGGGCCCACAGTGGCAGCTGGTTCCATGCCATCGTGGTCAGCACTCTAGACTGCCATCCCTTATACCACAGGGCCTCACAGTGTCAGGCGCCACTGTGGGGCCTCCGCCCCGGTGAAGGGAGAGAGGCAAAGGGAAAGCCATCCCTTCCATACAGAACTGCTTAAAATCAGTTCTAAGAACTCACTGTTCAGCAAAGAGGGCTGTTTGGGGACAAAAGGCACACAGGGGTCCCCCTGAGATTTGATCTCAGATCATCAGGTTCAGTCTAGAGTGCTGACCACGATGGCATGGAACCAGCTGCCACTGTGGGCCCTGCACGTTTTGCCGTGGACGTGGACATGCAGAGGAGGGTCTAAGGGCTGAGTGGGTTCTGCTGCTGAAGACCCAAAAGCCAGAAGTCACAATGGAAACCAAAAGGGGTTTACTGGCAGAGGATGGTTTCGACCCATCGACCTCTGGGTCGGGGCACCCCCTTCCTGGCTCTGAAAGTGACAGGTCTGTGCCCTCCCGGTTGACGTGCAGTCCCGTGGGTCAGTGGGGGGGAGAGGGTGGGCTCCCGCAGAGGCCACTAGGGCAAGGCTGCTGCTTCCATACTGAATCACTTCAAGTGAAAGCGTCGAGGAATTTCCTTGTTCAGCTTTATACATTAAAGAAGAAATAAAGCTGCGCTGTCAAAAAGGTAAAACTCCTTGAATTGTGCTGAATCTTTTCACGTAAAAAGCATCCATGGAAGTTGTTACAGATAGTAGGGTGTCTCAAGCAGCTGAAGCACCAGGAGAAAGCAGCAGACAAATTTCTGGGGTTACTGTGTCAGCCAGTACACTCAAGACACGGCCGCAGGGAACGGAGTGAACTACGTTTATGAGCAGGGTTAAAGGAAGCCAGCACTTGCCACAGCACTGAGTGGTCAGAACCCAGAGGCCTGAGGGCGGTCCCCGGACGGGGAGGTCTGAGGCCGATGGCGTGGGCACCAAACGAGCTGAGGCTTTCCTTAGCTAACCTCACAGAAAGGACTCGACCCACGCCGGGCAGGGAAGAGCCAAGGGCCACCCCAGCCGCTCTCCCCTGCGCCTCCGAGCTCCTTTGCCAGGCCTCCCATTGCATGCTCAGCCCTCTTGCCTTCTAGCTTCCTGTTGGTTTTACAGAACAGGAAGGTAGAGGGTCTGGAAGGCACACAGGACAACCAGAACCAAAGGAACAGCCATGACCCCAGATACATGTCCACAGCTGCCAAAGGCAGCAAGGGAGGTTGAGGGTGAGGGAGGACCTGAAGTGAAGGCCTGGGCAAAGCCAGCTGGCAGGGATTTCTGCAGCATCGGTGACCCACCCAGCAGGGCACAATGGACAGGCAGGCCCTGGCTGAACATCAAGACGGATGGGCAGTGGCCCCCGATGAGGCTCCGTGAAATGCACTCGCTGTGCTTTACTGTGAGCCTGAATCACCACCACAGCGGCAAAGGAGGTGTCTGAGCTGGACAGATCCGGGCGTGCAGGTACAGGTACAGGTACAGGTACAGGTACAGGTACAGATACAGACACAGACAAAAGGTGGCCGCTGGAGATCTCTCCAAGCAGCACATTTCATCAGGGCCACAGTGCAGGACTCAGTGAAACCAGATCTGAGAACTGATGTCAGCCTTGCTGGTGAGGAGTATGGACGGACCTGGACAGGCCCAAACCTGGAGAAAACTCATGTTCCTCTGAACACATCCCAAAGACTCCGGTGTGGGAAAGCTCAGCCGGGTAGACAAGGTCATCCACAGCTGCTGGGCAGACTTTCTCCAGCCCCCTTAATGATGCTTGTTTAACCTTCGGACCAAGTGGCCTTGAGGGCAGGGAAGGAGACTATGCCCAGGCTCTGACAACGTGGACGCCTTTCCCCCACACCAAGCCTGCCCTGGCTGTGACGCCTGCTTCCATGTATTTAGTGGCCAACAGTAAAGCCCAATACTGGCTGTGGGGCAGAGAGGGCCGCCAGTCACCTGATGGAGGTGGGGGGCGGTCACTGATCCTTTCTCTGCAGGAGACCTGCGAGGCCACTTTGGAATAAACCCTAGTTCCAGACCAGGAGTCATTTGCTTTCCTTCAGAAGCCCCACTGCCACTGCAGCCTACACAACGCCGCCCCTGGCCAAACCGCGTGCTTTACAGGGGCAGCACCGAGCAACAGGCATTCGCTCGGGCGAAACTACTTTTCTTCGCGTTCTCGCCACCCAGAGGAAAGGGATTTAGAGCCTGTTCCCGCGAAACTGCGGTTACAGGAGCAAAGCGAGCGAGCACCTGGCACTGCCAATCGCGTACGAAGACGCCCTGATTTTCGGCCCGTCAGCCTTGCAGGCAGCAGCCTTGACTCCTCCCGCACCCCCAGCGCCTCGCGATTGGGGCCCACCGTCACGGCCCCGTTCACGTCTGCGGCGAAGGAAGGAGCAGACGGCGTGACAGACGCCCTGCCGCGGCCCCCACACTTTTCCCTGTTTTAGGACCGACTGAGATGCTCTCGGGGCGCGTGCGTACAGCCGTGTCACGGCGTCTGCGCGCTGTCGCCCCGCCCCCGCTGGAGCGCGCACGTTCGCGCCTGCGCACCTGGAGGCGCGAGGGGTGACGAGCGCGCGGGCGCGTTCCCGGGGGGCGCGCGGGTGGGATCTGAGGATTCCGGCGACAGATGACGTCACGGTATCCACTGTCCGCGGGCCGCGCTGATTCGCACCCGACTTCACCACCAGGCCCGTGCGGCCTGCGGCCCCGCGTTCCCCGCCCTGTCCTTGCGCGGTCCCCGGGCCCAGGAGCAGGGGCTCCAACGTCCCCCCCCATGTCTGTCCGCCATCATGCTCGGGGTCAGGGAGGCCCCGGCCCAGCGCAGGATGGCTGGGGCCCCAACTCGTGCAATTTAGAGCGTCCTCTTTAAGGAAGAGGATACAAAATTAGATGGCGCGTGCGAATGCTGATTGGAGTAAGAAAAGTAATCACAGCGAGCGGCGAATTATGCAAAGCTGACCAATACTACAGACTTCATACAATTAATGCAATATTTCACTGATTAGCTGCCCAGAACACCTCTAACGTATCTTTTTTTTTTTTTTTTTTGCGTGCAGACTTAGTTGACTCTTGATATGGTAATGATTTGGTAGAACTGTTTTTATAGAGTGAAAGATGTCAGTTGGTCAAATTTTTCTTTTATTAAAAGGTTAGAAAAGGTGGTCGGCTTTGCATTCTTAGTAGTAATGCAACGCACACTTTTAGGCTTGCTATCCCATTTGGCCAAACCTCTCCTGTGAGAGCCGAAGGACTTCGGGTGTTTCCGGTGTCTGGATGCAGGGCGGGGTCTTAAACCCGCTGTGGCCTGAGAGCCGCTTATTAGCTTTATATCATTGTTGATTGCAGTATTTCATATCAAGTCTGGAAGAAATGGAAATCGCTTTCTGCGTTTATGACTCACTCATCAGATCGCGTGCATTACTTGCGTCCACGGTCCTTTGAGGAGCCCGCTGTGATTTGTGTGTGCCCAGATAACCGTGGTATTGTGCTCCGTGGAGAGTTTGTGATTTTTGAGCGTTCTAAAGACACTGATCTGAAAGTCTGTCATAAGTCGTGTCCGTCTGCTTGAAAAGTGTGTGCAAGCGAAACTACAGGCAGCGTGCGGGCGTGGAGTGGGCTAAGCACCATCACGGAGCAGTGTTCCTATCAGAAAATAATTCTCTCAAAGTCTTTTGAGAAGCATCTCTTTGGTGCGCTGCATGTTATAGTTGATTCTCTGTAAATGGGATCACAATTTTGAACTAATGAATTTTTCGCTGAACAGTGTTGGGAGAATACATACAGGCATGATGAAGCCTCGGTGCTCCCTGAAGTCAACAGGCTTCAAAAATCAGGGGGTCGGGGCCACCCCGCTGCGTCCCACCGACTGGAGGCCCCGTGGGTTTCCTTTCCGTTACCACCATCTTCCTGCTTTGCTTTTCCTTCTGCTTTTTTGCTTCCTGTTTCGGTGCGTCCTGATCCTTGTACTGTCTTTCATCTCTGCGTTGTCATTTTCATTACCCATGTTTTCTTAGCTATCATGATTCTTTTCCTTCATGATTTTCACCATTAGTGCTTTCAATTCCACTTTTAATTGACATTTCAAAATTTCTACCACACTTCTTCTTTTTTTTTTTTTTTTTTATTCTTCCAGTTTCTGGTCACGTTTGAATTTTGGTATAATCAATAATTCCAAAAAAATGTATACAAAGTTAATGTGACCTTAAGGCAAACACAAGTGCAACTCAAATTTTAACAGTGCCTCTGTGTAGTCCTAGCCCACGATTGTGTAATAAAATAATCATATGCCACATACACTGACGTACTGGAGAGTGTAAAGCTTTGTCACTGAAACGTGTTTTCCTTTCAGGCCATTTTGCTGTGTCATTACCAATGTGAGTGTTATTTCTTCTGAAACTCCCAGACTTTGTCAGGACGAGATGCTTCAGGTATGCGAAGACTCGATCTGAAATGCCCAGCTGCGAAGACGTGACTTCTCGCGTCTCGTGCCTGCTGGTGGTGCAGCTGCAGGCGCGTGCCCCACAAGCACCGGCGTTCTGAGAAACTGCTGTAAGGGAGAATCGTTTGCTGTGACGAGATGGGCTCTTGTGTGGACTGTGTCCCTACATGAGCATGCTCCCATCTGGCCAGCATTCGGGGACACAGTCCCTTTGTTCAGTTGGGACATCTGATGTCGGGGGAGTTTGGCACAGATTGTGTGCCGGCTCACAGTATTTCAAAGCTTATTTTCCTACCACGTGCTCCTGGCGTCTGGGGCTGGAGGACAGGACCCCCTTGGGACAAGCCCTAGCCAGGCGAGTGCCCAGGCTGTGGCCATGCACAGCTGGGCTGAAGGGACTGCAGAACGCATCATGCACGCCCACACCTTCTTCCGTGTATCTCCGAGTCCACTCCAGTGCCACCCCCAGGGGGTAGGGTGGGAGGAAGGTAGACATAGCCCTGCTCGGGTGCCCTGGAACTGGCCTCAGAGCTTCCCAGCCAGCCCACGTCAGCCAAGGGACCAGCCCCAGCCAGGGGCAGCGCCTCCCATCATCACAAGTCTCAATGGTCACCCGTGGTGGCTGGGGGAATCAAGGACTTAGCGTGTGTGAAGTGCCCACAACAGCATTGGGGACTAAGGGTGGCCGAAGTGGCCTCGCGTTGTGAGTGGCAGCAGTAGCAACAGGAGCCATAGACTGCTCCTGCTGACTGGTCCCTGGAGGCCTGGGTCCTCCTCCCGACCCACCCCCCGCCCCACATTTCTTTATCAAGTAGGCCTGTGATTTGACAAACACATGAAATACCTGCTACCTGCCTGATGCTGCGGAGATGCTGAGGCAGGAACACGGGTAGGTGCGGCCACAACCCGCCTCTGAGCGCGGAATGTTGGGTCAAGGAGAACATTTCATCCCAGAATCTTGGGTGGCAGCGAGTTTATGGTTACCTGGGTTTTTTTACACTGTAGGATTTGTGTTTCTGTAAAGAAGAAAAGTAGAAATGTGAAATTTATAACTTACTACTATAGAGCTTACATCCAAGATGATGTGTTTTGAATTTATACTGCTTCACAGCAGGGCCATGCCTTAATGAACATACCTTATATTTTCTCGGAAAGCTTGGCCAAAATAAGAATATTTGTCTCCACCTGATGCAGAGGTAGAACTCCAGGTCTCTGCAGCCAAAGCATTTACTCGCGGGAGAGCGAGGAGGTGAGTACACACCTGAAAAGGTACAGAAAGTAAACAGCAATGCGGGGAAGGCAACGAGAAGCATCACGAGGCAAGAAGTTATTGAATGTCACATAACTGCTATGCACCCGAGCTGGAGAGTCCTGGGCCCTGGAGGGACAGCCACGGGGTTGCCACAGCGAGGGGGTACTTTATGCAAGACCAGGGCACTGGGTGGACGGGGAGGAGGGGGAACCTGGGTGTGGGCAGATGTCCACGCAAAGGTGGACCATGGAATGGATGACGGTGGCCGTCGTGTGGGGCGTGGCAGAGGCAGGGGCGGTCATGCTCTCGGCTCTGGAGGGAGCCGTGGGGAGAAGTGGGGGACAGGGAACAGGGCCTGGCTCGCATCCGGTCGATACCGACGAGCCAAATTATGAAACATAGTTTTGTCGTCTTAAAACCACAGGACTTGACCACACGTCGTCCGTGTTATTTTGTTAAATGAAACCAGTTGGAGTGCCGGATTTCACTCTCAATTTCGTTTCTTAAAGAGCATGACATTTCCCGGCTACCGGAACACCCCGCTTTGTTGTGCGTGGCGCTGCTCGGCACCGGGAGCCTCACTGTTGCCTCTCCCGGTCATGCTGCTCTCTGTGCCCTCTACTGCCAGGTAACACGCGGGCAGTCAGAGCATGTGTCACCTGCAGGCGTATGGTGGGGACATGCTGCTCTCTGTGCCCTCTGCTGCCAGGTAACACGCGGGCAGTCAGAGCATGTGTCACCTGCAGGCGTATGGTGGGGACAGCCTGAGCCAACATCCAGACAGTCCCCAGAACGTAGCTGGCGTGCAGGGAAACACTGCGCGCGTTGTAAATAAACGGCGCATTCTGATAGTACCTTCCCCGCAGGACCGCCCGACACAGACACTGCGGCTGTGGGGCCCAGCGTGGCTCTCGCCTTCTAGAAGCTGTGTCCTCAAACCGGGAGCGTCGCAGGGCAGCCTAGAGTCTCCTTGGAGTGGCGCTTAGGGCGGAAGGGCTGCCCCAGAGCAGCCTGTGCGTGGCCCACTAGTGGGTGAGGGGACCGAGGTGCAGACGGGCGGTGTGTCCTCAGCCACAGTAGTCAGCAGGGGGAGGGCCGGGGGCACAGGGGTGCCGAGACTGCTGCCCGGTTTGCCCTTCCACCCGACTTTGCCACCGGCCACCGAGCCATGCAGCAGGACTGCTGGAGAGGTGGGCGAGCTGTTTGATGACACTGCAGATGGCGCCCTGCCTGACCTCTGCCTGCGTGGGAAAACCAGGGCCATACTTGTGAGTTCTCGTTTCTTCTTTTGGTTCTGTCGGCGTGTCCTTCGAACCGCCCCTCTCGTGACAGTCCCTCACTAGGACTCCTGGTCTGGCGTGGATGTCGCCGCATCTTATGATTGGGGCGTGCACGGCGTCTCTTCTCCGTTCTTGTACTTGCAGCTCATCTTGGTTACGGACCGAGGGTGCGTTTGGGAAACTCGGGAGTTAGAGTGTTTTCTCCATCAGCCTAAAGTCCGGCTTCAGATCGTCGTGCTCTGCAGTTCACATTCGACGTAGTGACTGAACAGGCGGCTCTAATCCACCGCCTCGCTGCTCGGTATTTGTTCCATCTGAGCTTTATTCCTTCTCACCTCCTCTTGGCTTGTTCACGTATTGTTAAAATTCCACTTTATGTCTTCTATGCTACTTTTTTTATATATATCATATTTTTATACTGATTTATGATAGTGGTCGATCTAGAAGTTACAGTATGTACCCTTCGCGTATCACAGTCCACTTTGAAGTAACATAACATCACTTCATCCACCACTAAGAACCTTAACACAGCGAGACAGCGTCGACTCCCTACCTGCTCCTGCCCTTCTGCTCTTCTGGTCATGTTCTGTATTTCTGCAGGTCGCACTGTCCAGTTCGGCAGCCATTCCTTAAACGTGGCTGTTTAAGTATAAAGTTAAACGAATTACAATTAAATAGTTTTAAAATTCAGCCCCTCAGGCAGGCGCTCCGTGTAGAGAACATCCCTGGTATCACAGGAAATCATGTGGGACAGCGGTTGCGCTAAAACTTACAACACGTTATTTTCAAATTAACTTCAAGCATTCGTTCAATAATTTTCTGAAGCCATTATCTTAAATGCCTTTCACAGCTGCCCGCACAGTTCACGCGGGATTCCGCTTCGGAGTGTTTTTCCCTGGCCTGAGGGGCCTCCTGCAGTCCTTGCGAAGGCCAAGTCTCCTGGTGACGAATGCTTTTCAGCTTCTGTTTATCTGGGAACACCGTTCATCACCTTAATTTTCGAAGGGCATTTTTGTTAGGTGTTGGGTTCTGGCCTCGGCGACTTCCGTTTTACTTTCGGCTTTTTACAGACATCGTTTCTTTGTCTTCTGGCTTCCGCTGCTTTTGATCAGGAGTCAGGGGTCATTCTTACGGCAGTTTCCCTGAACTTGCTATGTCTGTTTTTTCCTTTGTCCCCTTTAAGGACTTTCTACTTTCGGGTTTCAGCAAATATGCCTCCATGTGCTGTTCTTTGAATGTGTCCTCTTCGGGGTTTGCTAAACTTTTTGGATCTGTGGTTGGTGTGTTCTCATCAATTTGTAAAATTCTCACATGTCTTCTCTTTAGATATTTCTTCTGCTTCATTTTCTTTTCCCTTCCCTTCGAAAGTCCAGTTTTAGGTACGTGAGACATTTTGATCTTGTCCCACAGGGCTCTAATATTCTTTTTCATTGTCTTTTTCTCTCGTCATTTTTCTCTGCGTTTTGATTCAGATGATTTCTGTCGATGAGACTTTAAGTTGAAAAACCCTCCCTTCAGCTGCATCCAGTCTGGCGTTCAGCAAATCCAGTAAATTCTGCATCTGAGAGATTTTAGTTTTTTCTTCCTCCTGGTGTGTATTGTATCCCTCTGCCCTAGGGTGTGGCCTTTTTGGCATCTCAGCCGACCTTGGGTTGCTCTTCCCTTTACTCCAGTGTCTCTCACTGCTGAGACTTCTGCAGTCTCTGTCCAGCTGTCATGCAGTGCTGTTAATCAGAGATGCTCAAAGAATGTAGCTAAGTTGCTGTCATTAAACTTCCTCTAGTCATGCTTATTTATGTGCACACAATTATGGAAAAATAGGCAGAATACTGATCCTGTAACCCTGCCTCTAGTAATTCTCATCACTGGACGTAAGAACTGTCAGGAAAAAAAGTCCCAGGCATATTAGGAGATAAGTCTCCAATATAATTCAACTTTTTAATCGAAACTTGCACATATTTATACTGCTTCAATCAATTATGTGTTAATAATAGTTGTAATACTAATTCAACTGAGGAGGAACGTTTTTAACCTGAGAATTATGTTCACAGGAAATTGCCAATTAATCCCCCCATAAATAATAGAGTAATCAATAAATTATGTTCAAGAGTCAAAACTCACTGTATGTAGAAGAAAATTTGCGAGGGAATTGGAATGGAAGAGTTTGGGAGAAAAGGACTTAACAGAACATGTTGTTTGTGTGTTTGTGTGATAGTGGGTTTCAAATCGCAGTGACACTGAGGCTCCACTGGAGACATTTAAGGAATGATGTCATGGTTTCATTTTAAAAGTCAATATTTATAATATTTGGGAAATTACATCCTTGCAACTATTTAAACATGATAAAAATTTTGCTCTTAAATGTGGAGGGTTGACAAGTGTTCCCCAAAGTAGTTAACTGGCCACTCACGCAGGAAGCTTTGAGGCGCGTGCGGGCCCAGCCACCCTTCCTGTAGCCTGGGTCATTGCGGGAGAGGCTCCCTGCTTCCAGTTTTGTCCCATACAGCAGACAGGCTCATCTTTTCAGGAGTTATGCGGGACCATTCACCTCACCTGACACGCCTGGTGGTTTCCCATTTCACTTAATGCGACGGGCATATTCCTGCCTTGGGGCCATTGTCCTTGCTCTTTGCCCAGATGTCACTCTGGCCCCTGGCACCTGTCCTTCATGCCTCAGGCCACACGTCTCCTCCTCCTCTGGCCTTCCTGCCCCTCTCTCGGACCCCTCACCCCACGTTAGCACACATGCTGTGTATTTATTCCCATGTGGCTGTGGGTCCTCCAGCCAGATAAGCACCGAAGGTGCCCCGTGGCCAGGCTCTCCGCCCTCTTCCCGCACCTGCATCTGGCGTGTGCCGGATGCTCAGCACACAGCTCCTGAGGGAAACAGCAAACCCGTGTAAAACTTGGGTCTGGGGTCCCTTCTGCCTGCATCCAGCTCCCCGAGGTAAAGAGCAGTGATGCTGTCTGCCTTGTGAGCAGCTTCTGGTGCAGCTCCAGAAGGTCTCGCGGCAGCCATGGCTGCCCGTTTGCTCACTGCTGTGTGTCCAGTCTGGCCTGCACCTGGCGTACAGTGGATGCGCACTGAGGTCTCGGAACGGTGGGAGCCCAGCGCGAGCCCCGCCTGCCTGCCTGTCCCAGCCCTCAGTGACTCCTGTCCTCAGAACCGTGCCGTCCTTACGTCCTTACGTCCTACTGCGCAGGGCCCGGCATCGCCTGTCATTTTATCCCGGTGCCTTGCGTCTACCCAGCGAGGATAGAGCTGAGATACACTGGTGCAACGCCGTAAGCTCGCCCTCTTTATGTCTGCAGGCCAGGCTCCCTGCACCTGGCGGATGCTCTGTGTTGGTGAAAACACTTGAAAAGTAGGCGAACACTTCCTGTAGCCTATTAGTCTGGTGACAGCGGAAGACACGTGCTCCGAACACCAATCATTTATTGCAGTGACGCTTCCGAAAGCCAGGTAGAGTGGTGAATGTGCCAGGCTGTGAGCACTAGGTGTGAAGCCAGGGCACAGAGCACTCGGCCTGGGACAACACTCCATGGCCACTCTGTCAGCAGTGGCTTCAGTGGCTTGGGAACATTCATCAGGCTTGATTATTTGCTCTTTCTATCAACAGACTGTGTTTTTTTAAATGATTTCCTCACCATTTTCATACTTGTCTCAACACCACCAGAAACCTCTCCGACATATCAATGAGTGTTTAATGAAACTACTGTATTTTTTTCTGATTAGGATGTTCTGCTATACTTAACGGTTCAAAGCAGTTTGAACCCCTAGGAATTAGTACTATAATCGCAAACACATTTATGGCAATTAATTCATGTAAATGTTACATGCGGAGGGACACATTAACTTCCATTTCCTTTAGAACGAGATTTTACACACGCACGCATGCGCACATGCACGGCTGCCCCAACCGCCTCCCGCCTGGGGCTCTGCTCAGCAAGCTCCTGCCCCAGACGTGTACGTCCCTGCTCCGTGGAGGCCCAGCTTCCTCTCAAGTCCTTCCACTCACACTGAACTTCTATACCTAAACGATGTCTTTAAGTTCTAATTGTTCTTCACTGTTATCAGCAAATAATAGAGCACCGGGCTGGTCCCCAGTCCTGTCGCCCGGCCGCGCGTCGCAGAAGTGTGACAGCTCCTCGTGGTCCTCACGACAGTCCCTCATGTGGACCGCATGGTCCACGGTGCCTCCTGTAGCCGAGGCTGAAAGGTGCAGCTCGTTGTAGTTTAGGTTTTGCGACGACCCCTGGGAGCCCACGCTGTCACTGCTGGGACTGACCTTCCCCCGGTCGTTCGCGTTTTGCAAGCCGCACGGCGTCCGGATCCTGACCCGGCGCGTCTCCTCCACGGGAGGCGCGTTTCGCACGGAGGGCGCCCGCTGGCCGGGCAGTGGGTGCTGCGCTCCGGGCCGCAGCGCGTCCGCGGGGGTTCCGCCCATCACGAAACACCGAGCCCGTGCCACCGCGTAACCGTTTCACTGCGGTGGAAACCGACAGTGCTGAGCCTGGCGGTGCTGGGTGCTTAGCGAGGGCAGGTCCAGCTCCCAGGCTGCGGGTGACC